AAAAAAAAAAAAAAAAAAAAAAAAAAAAAAAGTTTTGACGGCCTTATAACATCAAGGTCATGGGTTTGGATCCCCATGCTGGCCAGCTGCCCCCAAAAAGAAAAGTTTTGAAAGTCATTTTCTTTACTTGAGAACCACATTATATATAAATATCTGTGATACTATGAAAATATATATCTAGTCTTCATTCCTGTCCTCTGACATACTAAGGATTCTAAAATCCTTAGAATCTCCAAAGAGGTAAGACTCTTTTCCAATGGCTGTCAGCCCCTAGGTAGTTTTGGGATGGGAGCTGGTCACAGGAAAGACCTAGGTGACCCCCCAACCTCCAGGGGGTTAAGTTGATCACCAGTGGCCAATGATTTAATCAATCATGCCTATGTAATGAAGCCGCCATAAAAACACAAGAGGCCTACATTCAGGGAGCTTCTGGATAGCTGAACATATGAAGGTTCCTGGAGGGTAGCATACCCGGGAAGGGCATGGAAGCTCTGTGCTCCTTCCTGCATCCCTCACCCTACACGTCTCTTCACCTGTATCCTTTATAATAAACCGGTAAACGTAAGAATGTTTCCCTGAGTTCTGTGAGCAGCTCAAGCAAACTAATTGAACCCAAGGAGGGGCTGTGAGAACCCTGGTTTATAGCTAGTGGGTTAGAAGTTCCAAAAAAAAAAAAAAACAAACGGGCTGGCCTGGTGGCGCTCCCGCCGAGGGTTCGGATCCCACATACAGACCGGTTCCCGCTCACTGGCTGAGCGAGGTGTGGGTGCAGCGCTGAGGGTTGCGATCCCGTTGCCGGTCCGGTCCGGGCACAACACTGAGGGTTGCAGTCCATTGCCGGACACGAAAAAAGACAAAAAGGAAAAAAAAAAAAAGAAGTTCCACAGGCCTGGATTGTGACTGGCATCTGAAGTGGAGGACAGTCTGGGGGAGTGAGCCCTCAACCTGTAGGATCTGATGCTATCTAGGTAGGTAGTGTCAGAGTTGAGCTGGAGAACAACCTGTTGGTGTCCACTGAAGAATTGCTGGCTTGCTTGCAGGTGGGAAAAAATCCCCACATACTGGGACACAGAAATCAGAAGTCTGTCTCCTGTGTGTTGTTGGTTGTGCTTGTTGCTGAGAGAGAGTAGAGGAAAGACAGTGTGTACCTTTCCCACTCTTACTCAGTTTTGTTTTTCCCACATCAGCTCAAAAGCAGAGGTTCTATGGGTTAAATTCTTTCCCCTGGGGGAGGCACCTAATCCCAGAATGGAACTAACTTTTTAATTCTAAATTTATTCCTGCTATGACTCAAGACTTCTGAAATAAAGATAAAAAGTCCAGGTCTTGGGCCGGCCCGGTGGCGCACTGCTACAGTGCGCCGCTTGGGAGCGTGGCAGCGCTCCTGCCGAGGGTTCAGTTCCCGCTCACTGGCTGAGCGAGGTGCGGGTGCAGCACCGAGGGTTGCGATCCCGTTGCCGGTCCCGGTCCGGTACGGGCGCGACACTGAGGGTTGCGATCTGTTGCCGGACACGAAAAAAGACAAAAAAGGGAGAAAAAAAAAAAAAGTCCAGGTCTTTTCCTAGGTATACATATGTTGCCTAATTAAGCAATACAAAAGGAGGAGGGAAAAAGGCTGAAGCGACTTTTAGTTAGCTCTAATTTCGTTAGGTGGTTTTCCTTAAAGGAGGAGTTCAAAACCCTTTATTCAAGGGTAACTGACCTTCTTAGAAACTAGGCAATAATCAGTTTGTAAAAACTTAAACTACGCTCATTTATTTGGTTAGTATGCACTGCATGTCTACTGGATTTGATACCTAATCAAATAAGGCATTTCTATTTTCGTGGTTATTTCTGCTTTTATAGCACGTTAGTGACCACAGTAATGCTTTCTAGTTACAACAGCATTAGAACTCCGTCTCTAAAGAAAATGGCCTCCCTTAAGAGTAAATAGGACTGCTTCTGCTTACAGGCTTACGATCACACATTTACATCACTACAGAGAAGACCACAAAAATAAACAGTAGCTTCTGTTCTAGAAGGATCTTACCATTTGGAAAATGAGAAGAAAACACAGTAAACATGATACAATGTTACAAAGCAGAGATGGTAATTACAAATTGAAAAACACAGTACAAATTGAATTCCCAATACATAACAGAGAGTCAGATGTGATATAAATTTGGGAAACATCTTAAATTTTAAAAATTAGATCTTAAAGGTACACAAAACCTTTTGGTGTACGTTTCATCGTGGGTAGAGACAGAAAGGGGAATAATGCTTGAAAACAGAAACAAATTTATAAGTCCTGGCAGAGGACAGAGATCATTCGATTGATTTATCTCAGTTCTACTCACAGATTGTCATCTTTACCTTTACACCTAATGTGACAAGTACTTACGTACCTTTACTGCCCAAATAGACTGCTCCAAAGGATGGAAAAGTTTGAAACAAAAGCCATCTTTTTTTGATGGACGCTCAATGATTTCACAGGCATTCAGAAGGACTGTTCCTACCCATTGACCATTTTTTTGGGTCTTATAGATCAGTAGCACCCCAGGTTTCAACACACACCACAACTTGGTCCAGCTTTTTAGAGTACCACGAATCTACAGAAAGAAATTTATTTTAAAAATTAATATATGTTTTTCTCTTTGTGCTCTACAAGATACAAACTAAGTACTGGCAAATAGGATGTTTTAATCTAAAATTTCTATAACAAGTAAGCTTTAGATTTAATAGATTTTTTTTTTTTAAAGCTACTAACTACATCACAAGCACTGCAAATAGACATGAAAACGAAACGGCTCCTTCTTCTAAGAAACTTAAATTTTAGTGGGATTCAGAAGGAGAAGGATTGAAAAAAAATTTTTTTGTGGGAGACTAGGTCAATGGTTTCAAAATAATGTACTCAGTAGAATAGTTTTCTTCACCTCTCTGACCAAGTCAAGGGCCACTAAAATATACTTTCTTAGTGCTGAGATTCTTCTTTTTGTAAAATTTATCATAGCTGTAATTTTATTTGTGTGAGTATATGACTGTTCTGCCTTTTAAAAATCCCTCCCCCCTACTATTACATCAACGGTAGTGAAAATACTGTTGGCACACACCAGGCATTCCCTAAATATTTGGTGAGTGGTTGGAAGAGGAAAGAACCTCCTCCTAGTCCCTAAAATTATCTTCTCTAAATTACTTTGTTCTTAGTAATTACATAAAGTACAACATATAAATTTCTTGGTGGAAATTTTACAACACGAACTACTTGAATCTCTTTTCTCATAAAATGTTCCTCATGCTTGTGTTTCATACTATGTCAATAAGAAGCGTATAACTAGTTTTTTCTATAAATTTCTCTTTCTGTAATCTATTGAAATTGTTTCTATGCAAATTCACAATACTGAAAAGGATGCTAATATAATATTTAGATTAAAATAGGTATTATCTTCACTTTTATTTACTGTACAACATGTTCTCTTAATGCACTTACATGAATTAAAAAATAAATGTAGGGCTCCCTAACCCCCCAAATAAGCATACCATAGTAACTCTAAGCGAGAAAAATTTAGAAAGGGGGAGTTCCGAGACAGGCAAGAAGAAAAGAGAAAAGCTTTGAGAAAAGGTATATGTATACGTAAAAGACTGAAGACAAGAGAAGCGAATGGAAGAGAGTTATCCTGAGGTAACATTCTGGATTTTGGAGATGAGACAGTAGAACATGGAGGACAAATTATCAGAATGAAGATAAGGTTTAGAAAAGCAGCCAGGGGATATGTTGAGGACTTATGTAGGGTAGGTTTAACTCTGAAAATCCCAGGTGAGATCTGGAGCTAATACACTTCTAAGTAGAGCCAAAATAACTTACAAGGTATTTTTAGCACAAGACTGACTCTAGCATTACTTGAATTCTCAGGGAAATTATCAGTAGATTCACATCTCAGTGAAGGAACTTCTATGACAGATCTTATAAGGTTTATTATCAGGTTAGAGGTCTTAGCAACTCTTGGGGAAAGTGGAAATCTTTCAGGGCTAGAGTGATTCTTAGGTGAATGCTAGGCACTAAAACTTTCAGGGAGTCAGAGTCTTATGAGATTATTCATTTTTATAAGTTTATTTTAATTATACATTTTTATGGGGTACAGTTTGTTGTTTTGATACAAGCATATATTGTATAATGATCCAATCAGAATAGTTAGCATATCCATTACCTAAACATTTATCATTTCTTTGTGGTTTATAATATTCAAGATCCTCTTTTCTAGCTATCTTGAAATACACAATATTATTAGCTATTGTCATCCTAGAGCATCAGAACTTATGCTTCCTAGCTAACTGCCACTTTGTACCTGTTGACAAACCTTTCCCCATTACCCCCACCTCCCTCCCTTTCCCAGCCTATGGTAAAATAACCACTGTTCTACTCTCTAAAGATCATTTTTTTCTTTTTTTAAAAAAGTTTTTCTTTTTTATTTTTATTGAAACATATTGATTGTGTTTATCTGTGGGATACAGCACTGAATACAAAGATCATTCTTAAAGTTAGAATTAGTCTGAAAGATTCCTACCATCCATCCTTCAGATAAGAATGAGAAAGAGGACAGAATGACGGGGACGAGGGAAAATAAAATAAAAATAAAAATTACCAGAGGCCAAAAGAATAGGATATGGAAACAGCAATAGGTGTCCTTGATAATTAATGCTTTTCAAATTATCTTTTATATTAACTTTGTCTCATCTCAATAATGATATATCAACTCTACAATAATACTAAATGATTATTTGAATAGCAAAAATGTTTTTTTACAGCATGTGTATTAGACAAAAAAAATCACACAATCAAAAAGCCTTTTTAAAAGAACTGCTACACATATTTGATGCTATCATTAAGAGAGACTTTAAGGTTCCTTCTTCCCAATAAGATTGGAACAAAGAACCTATGGGATACAATTAATACTTTCTCTGACAGTGAAAAACAATTATCCTAGGAATTTCTTTGTCTTGTGGGCTTTAGGTGCACTCTGAGCTTTTCCATTCCAGTAGGTACATATCCAGCAATCCAAATTCAAGATTCAATACACACTGACCTTCAACCAATCAGCCATAACAATAACAGAAGGATCTGTAATTGTACTGAGCAACTCCTTTGTGGCTCTTTTCTTTTCTTCTCGGTAATTTTTCTTTTGCACCTATTTCATAGAAATAGAAAAATTAAAAACTCAATAGAAATGAGCAATTTCTTTGCAATTTTTTAGGTTTACAGAATGTAGAATATAAAATTCTAAACCTCTTTAGGATTCTAGTATCTTAGGAACTATAGTTTTTTGTTTGTTTTAGAGCTAGAAGGAATTTTTAGACAACCAAGGCTAGAATCTAGTTTTCCTGATCACTAGTCTTTATCTTTTTAAAAGAATTTTATCTCCTTTTAACTACACAATAATCTCATGGCAAAAATTTCAAAAAACACAAAGCTAAAAACCACCTTTATTACACCCCATCCTATTCCCCCCAAGTTGACCATTGTTAAGCTTCTGGAAAACACTATCCTTTCAGACCTTTTCTATGTACACAATCTATAGAAATACATAGCTCTTGTGTTTTTTTAACATATAGAAAAAAGTTCTCCCACTCAATATTTATCGGAGAGTTTCCTCATTCTTTTAACTGCTAAATATGATTCCTAGTATAAGTAAAACAGAGAGCTAACACTGAACACATTCTATGTGCCAGTCACTGTTCTAAGCATTTCATCTGCATTACCATTATCTAATTTAACCCTCACAATAATCTTATGAAGTAGAACTATTATTATCCTTACTTTACAGATGAGAAAACTAAGGCAGAGAGAATAAATTGCCAAGAATCACACAGCTGTAGAGTCAGAATTCAAACAGGTAGACTGGCTCCAAAAGCTATACTCTTAAACCTCTAAGCAATATACTGTTTCTATAATTTTTCTTAATATATTCTCTCATTGATAGAAATCTACTCGGTTACCAGTTTTCTCATATTACGAACAATGCTGCAACTGTTTGTAATTGGAAGTTTTGCTCTCTTTCCTGATACTAATATGTAAAATATAAATAATTAATAAACCATGAAAATGAAATGTGTTCATTCAAAACATCAAAGTTCTACTTTTATAAGTAAGTTGCTTTTGAGATTATTTAGGAAAGCAGCAGTGGATTAATGCAGTCTTATTACTGCTTTGTTATTATTATTTGGATGGGGGAAGAGGGATGACAACCTGTTAGTGACTACATTTTTTTAAAAACCTAACAAAAAATCTTCCACCATAAAAGCTGCATTTAATGGTAAAGATACTACATACATATAATACAAGTTTGATAATTCCACCTAAAAAACTTTAGACTTTTGGCTTTTATGAATATGCATATCTGAATTAACAGATTCCATATGAGACTGTGAATGCAGATGCATACAAGATCAGGCACAGAACACAAACGGGTAAAACAGATTGGACAGGAACCAGACCCAGTCGTGAAGCACGTGTTCCTTAAGCTCCAGATTCTGTGGATGCAGGAAGTTAGGTACAAAACTACATATTCCTAAAGAGAAACTGGGAGTCTGAACTTTGAATTATTGGTTCAAATTTTTTAATTATTACATAGGTCAAACAAAATATATCTATCTATGGGCCAAATTCAGCCCATGACCTAGCAGTTAGCAAACTTTAATTTCAGTAGGTGTCAGAGTTTCCCATCAGGTGTTCCACAACACAGTGATGTGTACTCAGGCACAGGTGTATAGAGATATCAAGTCCTCAGCCCCTGGAGGGGCCAGGTGGCCTGAAGCAGCCCACCCTGGGGCAGGCATCAAGCAGCCCTATCAGCTGATCTCAGTGTACCACATGTATATTAACATTTTCTATGTGTGCCTGTCTGTCCCTCTAGATATTTTGTTGTTGTTGTTCCTTTAGGAATGCACACATACATTTCTTCAACTTATTAACCTATTCTCAAAAGCACACACAGAGAACAACATGTTACTTTCCAGAAATAACTGTGGGAACTAACCTTAAGAGATTCTTTTTTTGTGAGCTTGCTTGAAGCTGAACTGTCCTTCTCAGAGCCATTATAAAGTTTAGATTCAGACTAAAATCACATAGAAATGAACAGAAGAGAAATAATAATTAAAACCTTCATTTATTCAACACCTCATATAAAAATTAATGTTAAAGGTATGTTTGTGACATTCTTCCTATTTATTGCTATGATTTGAACAAATATTGATTTTCAAATATCGATTTTCCCTATATAGCATTTGTGTTTAAAAATGAACCCACCTTAAACACACAAATATGCAAAAGTAAAAACTAATCAATCCACAATGTAAAGTTAAATAAAATCATTTGTAAATTTTTACATTCTGTTTTTCAGAGTATTTCTAAGAACATATACAATTATTTAGTTATTCCTAGAACAAAAGTAGCCAAAGCAATTTTCTTTAACAGTGGAAATATTTTGAATAGAAAACCAAGCCATGTAAATCCAACTACTCTATCTAATTTGTAGTGTTTAAAAACCAATATTCCCAGAATCTACTTCTTCCTACTATCCAGTGAACTTAAATTATCATTAATGTTTTAAATTTGTTTCCAGATTTTCAGTATATACTTCATATTTTTATTTGATTTTCATAAGAACCTTGAAAAATGGGCACAACTGACAATTTTATCTCCATTTTATAAAACAGGAAAGGGAGGCCCAGGAAGGTTGATTTTCCAAACTAAAAATCATTAATACAGCAGGGATCAGAACCTGGGTTTCCTAATTCAGTGCTTGTTTAAAGAGACCACACTCTTTCACCAAAGTAGAAAAGCACAAAACTAAAAGCCATTTTTATAAATCTGGGAGCAACAAAATTAAACATGTTCGTTCAATGTACTATGATTTTCATTTTTACCTATTGTTAGACATAGGAGAAGGTACTTAAAGTTCTTAGCAGTACTCCTAGTGCCAAGAAAGCATAAGGGACTTGATCCAAATGGTGGCTTTCAAATGTTGAATGGCCAGATCTGCACCATATCACTAGATCTGATCAAGGATAGAAAACTTTGTTACAAACTCCTTCACTCAATTTTAAGCTCCAGAAGGGAGGCACCATGTTTATTCATCAAAGACACCCAGTGTATTACCCGAAGAAAAAGGACTCGATAAATAACTAATGAATTGATAAAATAAAAATGAAAATGGCACTTGCAGCTCATCTCTCCTATGCCTCTGCTACTTATTATGAAATATTGGTTATTATGATGATGGCAGTAACCAGCTGAACTAGAAGGGGAAGGGAACTGCAAACAATTCTCAATGTAGAAGGTAGGGATCAACCTAGTTAAACTTTTGCTAAAGTTACTCCTTTAAGAACTGGGTTTGAAACATCATATTGCTTACTCCCATGATGATGGCATATACTTTGATGCCAAAACAATTTCACAAAATTCCTCAAGCTGAATAGGTGTCTGTCTTCTCCTTGGCCCTGGAAACCCAAAGGTGGTATGGCTACTGTTAGAGGAATATGATGGTTTAAAATCATCAGGAGAGAAAATTATGTTAAGTAAAATAAGCCAAAGAAACAAATACTGCATGTTTACACTCATAACTGGCTGCTAGGGAGGGAGGGAGGGAGGGAGAGAGGGAGGGAGGAAGGGAGGGAGGGGGAGAGAGAGAGACAGAGACAGAGACAGAGACCGAGAGAAAGACAGACAGAGAGAGAGTGCGCACTTTACGCACTGTCCTTTTTAAGTCCTCTAGGGAGGGAGGGAGTTTGGGAAGTGATAGGTCGGGTAAAGGGCATAAAGAAATATCACAATTTGGGGCCGGCCTGTGGCTCACTCGGTAGAGTGCGGTGCTGCTAACACCAAGGCCACGGGTTCGGATCCCATATAGGGATGGCCGGTTCGCTCACTGGCTGAGCGTGGTGCTGACAACACCAAGTCGAGGGTTAAGATCCCCTTACCGGTCATAGCGTGGTGCTGACAACACCAAGTCGAGGGTTAAGATCCCCTTACCGGTCATAGCGTGGTGCTGACAACACCAAGTCGAGGGTTAAGATCCCCTTACCGGTCATAGCGTGGTGCTGACAACACCAAGTCGAGGGTTAAGATCCCCTTACCGGTCATAGCGTGGTGCTGACAACACCAAGTCGAGGGTTAAGATCCCCTTACCGGTCATCTTTTAAAAAAAAAAAAAAAAAAGAAAGAAAAGAAATATCACAATTTGTAAGAATGAATATGCTAATAATAACTAAAAAAATTTAAAATAAAAAATCATCAGGATATTCTATTTTCCACAACTCAGGAAACTGTATATTATAATGTACTTTTTAGATACTATTAAATGAAGAATACTAATAGTAAGTAATAGCTTAAAAGTTAATGGCTGTTTACTGTTTGTCAAGTATTATGTCAAACACTATGTGCACTATCTCATTTAATACTCAAAGCAACCCTATGAGATAGAAGTATATCTCCCTTTTACTAATGAGGAAACTAAGACCAACAGATTTGATATCTCCCCAAAGTCACACAGCCAGTAAGTAAATGATCTGGGATTTGTACTCTGGTCTAATTCCCAGCCTCATGCTCTTAGCTATCTCGTTATATTGATTTCTCACCTTTTAAAACTATTCATATAGTATCTCATCTAGACTCAAATTTAAGATTTATCTTTATGAACAACAAAAAATCTGTTTCCTCAACTAATGACAAGATCTGGCTTGGTTATTCCTACCAGATTCCAGTACATTAGAAACCAGCAGCCCAGAAAGGTGTCACAAGAGCTTGGTAAATCAGAGCACACATATCTTAAGGAATCTTTGCCATATTGTGCAGTCTAGTTCTGAAAAAAAGAAATGAACTGACAGCTAAGTTATATAGTCATTTTATACATAACTACCTCAGTTTGCCAAATCAATATATATTTGAAATACCAAAAACCATAAATCATTTTTTGTTGGAGAAAGTTTACTAAACTAAGTTTCCCTTCCTTCATAAACTTTATTGACAACTATCTTCATGATGACCACAGGGTTTAACATGTAGTACTGCTTGCCTCTTCATTAAATGGCCTTAGAATACTTAGCACATTATATTCTTACTTTATTCTCTTTTTCTTTCTTTTCTTTTCCCCCTTAAACTGTTGTCCTCTTACAGGCTATGTGACTTTGAAAAGTTATTTAATCTGTCAGTCTTAGTTTCCTCATTTGTAAAATGAAGATACTACTACTAACTGATAAGGTTGCTTTCAGGGTTAAACGCAGTAGCGTACATAAAGTGTTGAACATAGTACTTGATATATAGTATATTTCAGGTTTATGACTGTACTCCAGACTGCAGGTGTTGTCAAAAATCTTACCCTTAAATAAGTGAGGCATTAATGTATGAAAATACTTGCAATTTGCTTTGAAAAACTACAGGTTGAATATCTCTTATCCGAAATGCTTGGGACCAGAAGTGTTTTGAATTTTTTCAGATTCTGGAATATCTGCAGATACTTAACTGATTGAGCATCACTAATTGAAAAATCTGAAATCTGAAACCTCCAAGTGTCATGTAGTACTTAAAAAGTTTCAGATTTCAGATTTTCAGATTAGGGATGCTCAATTTGTATAAAATACTACAGATATGAGGAACAACAACAATAATAAGTTACAGTGACAACAGATATTCTGGTTTGAATAAGTTTTTTAAATGTCCAGGTAAATATATTTTTTAAAGCAAGTAACAGACAACTTAGAAAACCTGCAGACAAGTAGACAGATGGTTAGAGGATGAAGTTAAGAGACATGGGCTCAGAAACCCCTTATGCTTGTGATAGGATTCCTTTTACCATGCTAGATATGTTACTTATGCTGGTGATTCCTTTCATTGAGATGGACAATTAAACATTCATTTAAAAATGCTATTTTGGGATAATCTGATTAACTCACTTTTCCAGTTCTCTCATTCATACTATGAAAACGCCTAGGAAAGGACGCATGAGAAAAAAGAATTGCCTTTATTAAAAAAAATGTTTTGGGAGTGACAAGGATGCATTCCATTGTGTTTACAAGTCTCAATTATGCATTTTAAGAAATAACAATTAACACCAATCCCATGACCAAAATGACAGCACTGATACTTTTTGCATCAGGTTCATAAAAGTATAAAGTTAAAACTATTTGATGGTCTCAGTTATGCAGATCAATCATGAAAGGAGTAACAAAACGTTATTCCCTAAAGTTACTTAGGTAAGAATAAAAATCTTCAGAATTCTATGAGAATGAGGCTTAATAATAAATGCATAAATTTTAAAATTATTCTAAAAAATAACAGTGGATTACATGTTAAAATAGTTACAAGCTAGCGACTATAGCTCTCTTAAGCTAACAGAATAAACCAAGATTAAATCTAAATTAAGAGAGAATCAGTAAGTTTTGGCTTTTAGAAAATAATATGATGAGGGCCGGCCTGGTGGCGCATTCGGTAGAGTGTGACGCTTGGGAGCGCGGCGGCGCAGAGTGCCACCAAAGGTTTGGATCCCATATAGAGACCGGTTCGCTCACTGGTTGAGCGCAGTGCGGGCGTGACACTGAGGGCTGCGATCCCGTTGCCGGTCGCGGTACGGGCGCGACACTGAGGGTTGCGATCCCGTTACCGGTCACGAAAAAATGACAAAAAGGAAAAAAAAAAAATAGAAAATAATATGATGAGTATAATTTTACTCATACCAAATAGTTACCATGTTAAATATCTCACTCATTCACTGTAATTCTCTATCCAAAGTAAGAAAATGAATTCTTAAATTCCTATACCAATCAGACTTTGTCAGGCACTTTTAGCATCAAAATCTGGGATCTTATCTCCTCTGTACAGACAGGAAAGTTGAAGCCACTTGAATTCTACTTTCACCACTTACTAGATATTTTGACCCTTGGAGAGCCACTTACTTTCCCTGTGCTTCAGTTTGTTCACTTATAATGTTCACTTATAAAATAATTCCTGTCTCCTGGTATTGTTATGAGAGCTAAAATGGCACATGGTACGCCACCAAAGGTTTGGATCCCATATAGAGACCGGTTCGCTCACTGGTTGAGCGCGGTGCGGGCGCGACACTGAGGGCTGCGATCCCGTTGCCGGTCGTGCCACCAAAGGTTTGGATCCCATATAGAGACCGGTTCGCTCACTGGTTGAGCGCAGTGCGGGCGTGACACTGAGGGCTGCGATCCCGTTGCCGGTCGCGGTACGGGCGCGACACTGAGGGTTGCGATCCCGTTACCGGTCACGAAAAAATGACAAAAAGGAAAAAAAAAAATTATTCTAGTGAGCTAGTTTCTAACAAAGAATCCTAACTGACAGAACCAACCCAACATACTTTTCATACCTCTTGTCAAACCAGAAAACAAGTCAAGAATAAGTGATGAAAGAAGATTGGGGAAATAAATTTGGATTAAGGAATAAACTGGTTTTTGTAAATCTAATAATGTGCTTATTGTCGAAGAATTAGATGAGAATGCACATAAAGCACTTAGTATACTATGCTGCACACAGTATGCATTCAATTAATTTGACCTTTATTATCATGTTTATTGCCATACAAATTCTAAAAGGATGAATCTAAAATACACAAGTGCAGTGGGACAAACATACATACATCCCTGCAATCATATGGCACATTAATATAGCACTAAGCCAAAAGCTTTAAAATCAATATTAAAAGGGCACAATTAGAGAAATGTTAATACTGTACTAAGATTTGTGTCGCAGGCATAAAAGTAGCAATACACATTTTAACAAATTTTTTTTCTACTTTTGAGGACTGGTAATGTCAACTTTTCCTTACACTTACTTGTTCTACTGATTTAGGAAACTATGTCTTTTTCTAAGAAAATGTCTCTCAATTGTAAGCTATTACTATTAAGATCTTTGGCCTTTAACTGGTAAAAGGTATATATTTTGGTTGTCATCTGAATGAACCCAAAACACTTAATTTTTCTTTTAAAAAAACATGAACGTCTGAGAATTTCTCTGAATGGAACCCTCAGACTCCAGCTTGAGAAGTACTGCTATAGCAAACATGACAGAAACAATAGTACTCTGGAGAGAACACTAGTTACCAATAGACTGTATTTCCAAGTAACTAACAGCACTTAAATCAGCCCCAGTGGAACTTTTTTTTTTACTGAAACATATTGATTATACATATTTATGGGCTACAGAATTATATTTCAATACATGTATACAATGTATGAGGATCAAATCAGGGTAACTAGCATATCCATCACTGCAAAACATTCATTTCTTTTTTTTTTTTTTTTTCTGTCTTTTTCGTGACTGGTAAGGGGATCGCAACCCTTGGTGTGGTGTCGCCCACACCGCACTCAGCCAGTGAGCGCACCGGCCATTCCTATATAGGATCCGAACCTGTGGCGGGAGCGTTGCTGCGCTCCCAGCGCCGCACTCTCCCGAGTGCACCACGGGCTCGGCCCAAAACATTCATTTCTTTACGATGTGGACATTTAATCTCCTTTCTTCTAGCCATTTGATAACATGCATTAAATTATTGTTAATTACAGATGCCTAGCTCAACTGTACACCAATAGAATTTATTTTTCCAATCTAGCTCTAATTTTGTGTCCATTAATCAATCTCCCACTATTCTCCCTCTCCCCTTCTCTTTCCCACCTCTAGTGAACACAGAAACTTCACTTTTTTCATACATACTACATGGTTCAGATATACCAACATAAAAACATCCCATAAAAGCTTGATAGGATTTCAGTGTTAGTTCCCTTATTTTAAATCTAGAAAAATGTCATAATCATATATTTGGGGACAACAATGTGCTTACCTTGCTCTTCGACATAGAAAGTGAAGATTCATCTTTATTTTGAGAAATATCTTCCTTCCCTCTTTCAAAACCTTTGAAAAAACATCGTCAATATCTCAGTACTATTACTTTTCAACATATATATTCATTAATGTTAAAAAGCAAATATATATATAAATTAAATTTGTTGTCATATATATATATATGACATATATATATGTCATTCAATTTCAAATATATGTTATATTTGATATATATCACTGCAGGAAGCCTAGACTGTACATACAGTTTTAAACTACTATAGTTTGTAGACCTCTAAAGGGTTATCTCTAGTATACTTAATTATAAGGCTTACAGAGGCAAGGAAGCCTATCCCTGAACCCACTAACATCAAGCTAAGTATCTCTTTTCTGTACTTCTGCGGAACTTTTCATGAATTCAGCCCTCAAAGAGTTTTTATTCTAGTGAGCTAGTTTCTAACAAAGAATCCTAACTGACAGAACCAACCCAACATACTTTTCATACCTCTTGTCAAACCAGAAAACAAGTCAAGAATAAGTGATGAAAGAAGATTGGGGAAATAAATTTGGATTAAGGAATAAACTGGTTTTTGTAAATCTAATAATGTGCTTATTGTCGAAGAATTAGATGAGAATGCACATAAAGCACTTAGTATACTATGCTGCACACAGTATGCATTCAATTAATTTGACCTTTATTATCATGTTTATTGCCATACAAATTCTAAAAGGATGAATCTAAAATACACAAGTGCAGTGGGACAAACATACATACATCCCTGCAATCATATGGCACATTAATATAGCACTAAGCCAAAAGCTTTAAAATCAATATTAAAAGGGCACAATTAGAGAAATGTTAATACTGTACTAAGATTTGTGTCGCAGGCATAAAAGTAGCAATACACATTTTAACAAATTTTTTTTCTACTTTTGAGGACTGGTAATGTCAACTTTTCCTTACACTTACTTGTTCTGAGTCTAATAAAAGCCTATATTAAAAATTATATGTACAATTATTCATAAAGTAGCACTTTAAAAATCTTCAAGTAGTACCAGTGCCTGAAGCATTTTACAATCATTTCTAACATATCAATAAAAATATCATTTATTCTGTATTCGGCTTATGATAGATAAAAAATTCATTCCATTTTCTTAATCTGGATATTTTACTGAATTATTTCTGCAATATGAAAAAGAAGTAATTTTTCTCTCCTCTCTGGTAAGAAGAAGGATCACTTAGTCCAATACAAGGGAAGAAAACTGTTTCATAAGTGTAATTTTAAATGAAAACTTATAGAAATTTATTCAGAGCAATAAACATTATAGTAAGTAATTCTCAATACTAATGACTAACATAAATTACTTCAAAGATTTTCTAAATATACATGCTAGAGAACAAAGATTTTCTAAAAATATATGCTGTAAATGAAAAAATACATCATCTTTTATTCTTACAGGAACAGACTTCCATTTCTCTTGTGTTGTCTTGGTTTCAGCTAAATCTAGATCAATCCATGTATAAAATTAAGAAAAATGTCTACCTTACTGCATCTGCATTCATATACAAATTATTCATGAATTCAAATACATATTTGTTCATATACATATGCATTTATATACATATTATTCATGCATTCAAATGCATATTATTTTAAAAATAAAACTACATTAAAATGAAGTCATAAGTCAGAATAGTTTTAAAAATGTAAATATGTCTTACAGAGAGTGTCAAATGTTGGAAAAAGATACTCATAAACCTATATTGCATATTACCTGCCAAACCCAATAAATGAATCCCATTTTAAAAGATTTTCTATACCTCTAACTTACAAATCAAATGATTATTTTAAAAGCTGGGCCTGATGACTTCCAAGTTAATTAAAATTACAGAAGGACAAAGCAAAATACTTTCTAAAACATCCAAGTCTTGTTTCAACTAAAGGCAAATAAGTAGATGATCAGCATAAAATGCAAAGATATAAAAATGTTCAAAAGCCCTAAAATGAACATATTTCCATATTGTACACTAAGTTTCCAAGGCTAATTCCAAGGAAGGAGAGCAAAAACTGTCACACTAAGGACTCTTTTTTTTCTAGACTGAATAAAGCTGGTTTCCTAAAAAACTGCAAAATAATCCTTTGTTGTTCTTGCTGTTTTTGTTTTTTGTTTTGGCTGCTGGCCAGTATGGGGATCCAAACCCATGACCTTGGTGTTATAAGGCTGTGTTCTAACCAACTGAGCTATCCAGCCAGCCCTGCAAAATAATCTTTACTTAAAAGAAAGTCAGTCATGAAAGTATATTTATTAGAAGCCAACGGGGCTCTGGCGAAATACTTCTTAGGCTTTTATTCATTTTTCACCATGTATGGGAATTCAATATTACTTTATAAAATTACTCCTTTATATTTATAGACAAAATCTGACATCTACAACAAATTATTGACCACTATCAATAATAAAGAATAGTTTCAGATCATGACTTTTCACCAAGTTTGCTTGTTAGTGATTTGCGGTTGTAAACTGCCTTCCAACTATTCTCCTCACTTGCACAATGAGATAGAAATCTACATCCCTATCAGAATGGCTAAAATTAAAAGGACTAACACCATCCAAATATATATCGGTAAGAACATGGAGCAACTAGAACTCTATTCTTTATTGGTGGGAATATAAAATGGCATAACTACTTTGGAAAACTATTTGACAATATCTACTAAAGTTGAATGTATGCATATTCTAACACACAAGAATTCTAATCCTGGATATACCCAACAGAAATGAGTGTTTATGTCCATCAAAAGAGAGGTACAAGAATGTTCACAGCAGCTTTACCTATAACAGCCAAAATCTAGAACCAATTCAAATGGCTAATAGTAGAATAAATGAATACATAATAGTATGCTCACAAAATGGAGTATTATACAGCAATAAAAAAGAAATCAAGCATAATATTGAGTGAAAAAAGCCACCTGTCCCCATCCTGCCCCCCCCAAAAAACCCCCAAACCACATAACATATGCTTCCATTTACAAACCTCATCTATGACATTAGAGGTTAGAACAGTGGTTTGTTTTTGTTGCAGGAGTTATTGACTGGGAGGGGCATGAAAGAGCCTTTTGAGGATTTGTGAAGAAAGCCACCTGTCCCCATCCTGCCCCCCCAAAAAAACCCCCAAACCACATAACATATGCTTCCATTTACAAACCTCATCTATGACATTAGAGGTTAGAACAGTGGTTTATTTTTGTTGCAGGAGTTATTGACTGGGAGGGGCATGAAAGAGCCTTTTGAGGATTTGTGAAGAGGTTACATGTGTCTATACATAACTAAAATTCAAAAGGCTGTGCACTTTGCCTTATGTAAGTTAGGCCTCGATAAAAAAATGAAAAATCATATAACCTTACCTATTCTTCAAGTTTATTAGACTTCTCCTGCTTTGATATCCTTTTTTACCTAGTCTACACTCCTCTAGTTTATTCTGTACATGGCTAATTCTGATTCACTTGTCAACAATAATGACAATTATAATGATAATTAACACAACAGCATTAATGAAAACAACAATAAAGCAATCAATACCCATTTGTGGGAACCTTGTGAGCATAAGGCACTATGTTAGATGCTATACTTACATTTTTTTCTAATCTTTAAAACAAAACCACAAAAAAACTTAACCATATTTTAGTTGAAAAAACAGGACAGAAATTAAGTTGACTAATGTCAACAGTGACAGTATCAGAGCTGATTCAAACTTAGGTCTAACTTTAGAAGTCATGCTGTTTCTACAGAGCCATGGTGCCTCTCAAGGCCCAAGGCTACCTCTTCTGGATAATTTGATTGTGTAGGTAGGTATAGTTAGCCATTGTCTTCTATGAGACACACAGCACTTCGCACATATTTGTACTATGGTATTTATTGCAATATTCTCCAATTACTTGTTTTTATGTTCATTTTCCATACTTGACTGTGAGTTCCTGAAAAGAAGGGTCTAATCCTTATTCATTCTTTTACATTAAAACAGTGTATAAATTGACCCAAAATTTAATAAAAATGCACTCCATTTTTACTTCTAAAGGTTTTCTAAAAATGTATGCCATCAGAAAAATGCATAAAATGTACTTGTATAATTTAATAAATACAGGGAATATTTACATAACCACTATCCAAATTAAGCAGAGGATTGCTAACATCCCATTAGATCCCCAGCAGTGTGATTTTTAATCATAATCCACTCTCCTCCTCAAAAGTAACTATCTTAAATTTTGTAATAATTATTTACTAGCATGTCACGGTATGTATTTCATTCATTTCCACTGCTGATTAGAATCCCAGCATGTGGAGGATTACTAACATGTATAAAACAAATGTGTTTCACAGTGCCTAGCTTCCAAAGCCCTGTAGTTTCAGGTATAACCTAACTGTTTAGAATTACATATAGAAATGTTAAGCTTGTAAAAGACAGGAAACTTTCCCCCCCGCTAAAGTCTCTGTTGTAGATAAAGAATTGTAACACAGCAAAATTGCTGGCTCAAAGGACAGATGTCCTTGGTGCAGGTTAACCTACTGATTGATATGTTAAGAAAGTTACTTGACTGTTACATAAAAATACTAAGGAAATTGCTGTAGGAAAAGACAGTGTTTGCTAAGAACAAGCTTTTGTTGGTGGATTGACTTAACCTTTTACAAACTGCATTATGGAATGTCACTGTTTATTTCACTGATGTTACTCGTTTCCATTGTTAAAACTATACTTAACCATAACTCTGCCCATGTCCTTGTGTTCTTTGTAATGATTAAATCAACTGAATTTTCTTGTGAGTTTCCATCATTAAAACTATACTTAACCATAACTCTGCCCATGTCCTTGTGTTCTTTGTAATAATTAAATCAACTGAATTTTCTTGTGAAACTTCCTTGTCTTTACAATAAAAGGGAGAAACTAACTTTGAATCAGGGCTGTCACATTCAGTTTTCTCCTCCTAATGAGGAAATTACTGAAGTGCAGTCCTTCCCGGCCTCTCAATGAAAACATAGTACTTTGAGTAATCATGTAATTCTTTTTTATGTCT